TGCGTGGTAGGGTTGGTAGCTGTATGCCCAACCTTCCCTTTTTATTCTGGCTTAGGACCGACTAGTAACTAGTGAACTAGTTAGCCAGGCGAGTTTACGTTAGGTATGCCTTTCCATAAGCTGCATAATGATTCAGCAACAAAGAAAATTTTATTAAGAATTGATAGTGGATAGTGAAAATTTGCGTCTTTAGTTCCACTACTGACCGCTATCTATTCTGAATATCAATTTTAAACTATTGGCAATTTGAAGACATCCGTCCATGACTTTAAATGTCAGTAGTGGTCGATCGACTCTGTCCAGTCATAGACGACAATTTACGGATTATATTATTTAAACTATATAAATTGCTTTAGAGATCCACTCATCAGCTGGATGTACCTGCTTCTCAGTAAGTGATGTTGTTCCCACTGGGATTCGAACTCCGGAGCTATCGCTTCTAACGTCAGCGCATTATCCACTAAACCAACGAGCCTAAATCGCGGTGGGAGCAACATCACTCACTGGGAAACAGGTACATCCAGCTGACGAGTCCCAAATAGGAGGAAATGTGTATCCTGGATTCCACTACTAGCCGCAATCCATCATTAACATAATTAGAACGTAGGCAACATGAAGGCATCCGCACAGGAGCTCATATGCCAATTCAGACAGATCGATTCGGTCCAATCAACGACGGTGGAATACAAGCAATAACACTAGAAGTTGACTAGTTAGTTCATTTCCAATGATTACTTCGTCGTACAGCAGACGAGTTAAATATGGAATTGTATAGTTTGTATATTTTGTAGTATGTGCATAAAGTCTTATGTACTTGCTCCTTGTCTTTCCAGATGACCGATACGCAGACAGCATTGAGTGAAGATGATCCTGGTCATCTGATAAAATAACTCCTGACATATGTTTACATGAGTAAAGATGTTTGTCCACATTTGTTTTAACCAGACGATTTAGAGGTACACCACACATTCTGTTGACAATCTTCAAAGTTCTACGCAATATATGACAGTTTATTTTCAGGAAGGCGGGATACAATAAAGAGGAGAATAGGCAAGATGCGAGGGGTTTATAAAGCATAAGATGAGCAGCTGAGTTATACTGGGTACTCCCAGCTTCGTAATCTAGAAAGTTGGACGGAAAATTCTCTTGACAATTATGATATTTAAAGAACATTTAATTGTAGTGTAAAACACATTTTGTATTCTTTACTTTTCTGTACCTGTCATCTTCACTTACAATGATATCTGCCACTTTCTTGTATCAATTTATACCAAGTCCAATGAGTATACTCACTTAAATCCAAGGTATCAGTTTGAATATGCTATATTCACACTTGTATTCATTTTAAATAGAAAAATGGAAGATTGGTAGTTCATTTTCATATTCACATGTCGATTTGATTTGCAAAGAATGAGATTTTATTATTTAAGCCAAAATGGTGAAGGATGATCTGCTTTTATACCAAATAAAAAAAACCAAAATATCATATATCTGAATCAAACACGTGATCTATAAGAACTGATGAAAATCGTAGATTCAATACAGTACACAAAGGGTTTTACAAAGTGGATCCAGAGGAATCTAATGCTATTTTATTCGCCTGTAGATACAATTTTTCTTCTGAAGGCGGATAAAGTTGGATTTAATTAGAGTAACACTGGTTTATTGATGTGGTTCTCAATCGAAAGAAATCTACCTGAAAGTATGTGATCATTCTTCAGTAAGTCAACCGTTACAAAATCATTTTCGTAGCTTGAAATAGGTGGTTATTTGACAGTGAAGATAAGATTTTATTTTTGTTCTTGTCTGTATATATGAACAGTGAAATCTGACATTTTTTCCCATCTACTGTTGAAAAGTGTGGTATATTATTCAGCTTTAATTTCCTGAAAAGTGGCTTTCAGAAAACTGTAAAACATAACAAACCTACTGACATTTTAAAAATGTATCCGTTTAATAAATGAATAGTTTTCATCTGCTTACTAGTCATCAAGTTGGATGGCTATACTATATCCATCCATTATAGTTTTTCCAAGGAAAAGAACCTAGACGATTTGGATTTCGCCGATGATAACTTGTGTCTAATGTCACACAAACTCGAAGATCTACAGGCGAAAAGTAACAAGTTGACAGAAGAGGTGAGGCAGGGCAGCGAACACGTGACTTCAAGTGAACGTAGAGAAGACAGAGGTAGAGATGATGAAGATTCCCAACCTATAACAACAAGCACCAATCATCATCAACGAAAGGAACTTCAAAGAAGAAGCCTCCTTCACCTATCTAGGCAGCATCGTTTCAACTGAAGGTGGAGGCACAGATGAGGATATCAAAGCCAGGATCGGGAAGACAGCAAGACAAGCCTTCATTAGCCTGAAAGCGGTATGGAGATCTGCATTGCACTACACTGCATTCAGCATAAAGCATGAACAACATACGGATTCCCAACACCAATGCCAATCAAGTCAGTGCTTATATGTTATGCTTCAGAAACTTAGTGTCTTACCAATGGCATTTCCAACAAACTACAGACACTCAACAACAACTGTCTACTCTCCTCACTAAAGTTCAGATGGCCGCGAAGAATAAGCAACAAAGAACTCTGGCAACGAACCAACCACCAACCTATCACTCAACAAATATGCATTGGAAGGGAGTGGAGATGGATGAGGCATGCACTTAGAAGTCCATTCGGCAACATCACGAGCCAGGCTAGTTGTTCGAGTGGAATGCAGATGGGAAACGACGAGTTGGGTGTCTGAGGCTAGAGTGACATGGAGATGGTGTGAGGAAGAAATGAGAGGTTGTTGGCAGTTGTGGTGCCAGGTTGAGAAGACTGCAGAGAAGAGAGTGCAATGGAGGCGTGCTGGTTAAGCTTCATGTTCCACTAGGAACCCAAGGGATAAACAATAAATAATAATAATAATAAATGGTTATTAATACTTACAGTATAGAGGGTTAGAGCATGATCTGCATGCCAACCATTTCAAGTTTCAATTTTAGGGTTTGCGAGGATTTACAGATGAACTGACATCAGTTGTAGGAACATTAGAAACCTGAGAGCACTAGACAGCTGTTTCGTTCTAATATGGGACTCATCAGGGTTCGAACTAAGGACCTTCAGGTTCCGTGGCGAATGCCGCTGGGTCGGAGTTCAATGGTCTACGGTTTCCTCTTTCAGCTAATTTGCCATACAATGCAACTATCTTCCAAGATCACCATTTCGCATCCGCTTCACTTCCAGCTGGTTGACTACCCTCTTACATACTAATTTTCACAATAATACCACCATAATAACAATTTGTTTTTATCAAGTTAGGCTACTATCAACAAGAAATGGAGAAATTTCTCAAATTAAAGTTGTCATAGTGTAGAGGGTGCTACTGATAAGAATAAATATCAGTAGTAAATGTTGAGATGTCCGCGGAAATCATAGGCAATTACCAGCAATGCGTTAACATTCTTTCCAGAGGAATGCAAAAGAAAATCTGAGCGTATTCAGAGCAAATCGAGATGGAAGTAGGAGAGGAAATGAAGCACACTGTGCAAATGACTATTTCAATGGCAAGTGTACAATATTTCATCAGTACTGTACAAGTTGTCAATAACAAACATTGCATCCTGCGTCTATCTTACAACAGTTTCTTACAATAATACTTTATGCTAAACAATATAATGATTCCCTTTACTGTTATTGCTTGAATTATACCATCGTCGATTGGACCGAAGTGATCGGTCACTTTGGGCATATGGGCTCCAATCAGTGAAGGTATAATACAAGCAATATTACTAAAACTATACCTGTCGCACAAGAAGTGGCTATCGTGGCTCGGTTGTCTATTGGATAACTCTCTGGCGTTTGAAGCGATCGGCCCCGAGTCCGAATCCCGATGGTAACAACATCATCTACTGGGAGGCAGGTACATCTAGCTGATGAGTCCCGAATAGGACGAAATGCGCATCACAGATTCCACTGCTAGCCACTATCCATCATTACTATGATTCCCTTTATTACTACAAAAGCGAATTGAAGTTGATTATTATTCTTTTTGAATCTCTCCTGGTTAACTAATTCACTAGTTACTAGTCGGTCCTAAGCCAGAATAAAAAGGGAAGGTTGGGCATACGGCTACCAACCCTACCTTGGAAAACCAATCTAACCACTAAAGAAACTTCAAAGCACAAAGAAAATACAAAACATACTATTAAACTTATCCCTTGATGTAATCGGGAAGACGAAATGATGCCGGTTTGTGAAAGACTGCGGGAAGCCAGTCGGTTGATATGTCTTCTGTTCTCTCGATGAAAGCGAAAGTAAGGATGAGGACATGGAATGTCCGAATAATGTTTGAAGCTAGCTGGCAAGGCTGTCCAGATTGCAAAAGAGATGAGGAGGTATCAAAAGCTGCCTACCCACAATACTAAAGATCAGATGACCAGAATAATAAGAATAAGCAACAAGAAACTCTGGCAACGAACCAACCAAGTACCTATCACCCAAGAAATATGCAGAATAAAGTGGAGATGGATTGGATTGGGCCTACACTGAGAAAACTATTCGGAGACACCACTCTTCAGACTAGACCTTCGAGTGGAACCCAGATGGGAAACGACGAGTTGGGCGTCTGAGGCCAGAGTGACATGGAGATCATATGAGGAAGAAAAGAAAGCTTATGGGCAGGTAGTTGAGGTGCCAGGTTGAAAAGACTGCAGAGATGAGAGTTGAATGGAGGCGTGCTACTGAAGTCTTATGTCCCACTAGGAACCCAAAGGAAAAAATAATAATAATTATTATTCCTTTTGATTAGTTAAGGTAAAAATGAGTCAAGAAACCCAAGTATATCATTAAAATATCAAAGAGATGAATATATCATGATTTTCAAAGAAAATTCATGGCCAAGAACAAGAAATACTCAATAAGGATATTGTGTATAGTGTTTCTATAAAATCAACTAAAGAAATGACAGAAAATGATTATCAAATTCAGATCAACAATCACTTACTTTCTATCCCAGTAAGCTGATGTACTATAAGGTACCAGAAAAGTGGATGTTGTTCCCGATAAGGTGGACATGTGATTAGTTTGTTCGGAGGCATTTTACAGATGTTTATAATGTATATATATAATATTTAACAGATTAAATAATGTCATAATAATAATAATAATTATTATTATTATTATAATAAAATGTCTTCTAATTAAACAAGTTTTGTAAATTTTATTTACATAGATTGATAACACTTTTTATTGTTCTTTCTTTTTCAATATTTTTAATTTTTTATCCTTTTACACCTGTAACTGAGTATATCCCTCATTCATAAGAATCATATGAGAAATTGTAAGGTCCGATTAATCCAACTACTGATTGTAATCCGTGTATACTTATATGATTCACCTGAAAATCAGTGATTCTTCAGACTAGTCAAATTTTCATCATTGAAATTCTATCACAATAACCTATAATTCTGGATAGTAGTGTCAATCTAATATTTTTACAATATTTAGAATTTCCGCCTGTCTGTCAGTCTATCTTTTCATCTATCTTTTAATGATCAATCTATGTTCAAGCTCAGATATGCGCACATATTTATGGGTTAGCTAAATTGTGAATGTGTGCATGAGCGATAGACAGACATTGTTGTACTGAATTCATCTGATTGGTTCAACTTATCTAAATGTTCGTATTTCACTATGGACATACTAAAGTCACACACATTTTATTACTTAAGATGTGAAGTATTACCCGCTGGGACTATTCATTAAAATAGTAAGATTAATAGTCACCGAAGTTCTTTTCGGTTTGTCTATTAGTTTCAGTGCACTTCGACTGTAGTTTGTGATTCAATCAATTAATACGGCAGTCGTAATCTAGAAACAAATTCTGGGTTAAATTGTCAGGAATAAGATCATTTGTATGGATCGTGTAATTTCCCCTACATAAAACTGCATGGTTGCTTTATGTAGGAAATTTTAATAGAAATGAAACCACCTGAACCGATATAAGGTGTAAAGGAATAATTTCTTCAAAATTGCTAAAGCAATTAACACTGGGTTACGTTTATACCAAGCTGAAAAACCGGGATGCAATTTAGGAAAAAATGAGAAGTTGAAAACAATACACTTCTGTCTATAAATATCTGAATTCATCCAACACTGTTAATTAAAGTCGGAATGTGACCTAAACATGAGGATAGAATAGGTTGTTATTATATTGAAGGTATTATCATTTTGACTGTCTGATTAAGCTAGCCATAGTTTAGCAGACTAGTATTTATACTGGGTGATGCATGAAGGTGAAATGAAAATTTGGAGCGCGATGGGACTCGAACTAGCGAGTATTGCATCTTCCACCTAATGATCTACTAAATGAGTTACGAGGCCCGACTGCTGACCAGGTTTTTATATTGTAATGAGCGCTGCTGATCAGAATGGATATAAGTAGTCTATGTTGAGAGGGCTGCAGAAATCATAGGGAATTACCAACAATGGGTAAAGTTTCTACTCAGAGAAACACAAAAGACAATGTGGGCGTACTAAGAGCAAATCAAGATAGAAGCAGAAGATGAAATGAAGCACACTGTGCAAATGACTCCCTTAGTAGAAAGTGTACAATATTTACTAACGACTGTATGCTATGTCATTAATGAACATTCCTTCCTGCCTCTCGTTCTTATCGTTTCCTACAATACCGCTTCAATCAACAACGGTTACGCCAGACTATTATATAAATTCATGATGCGCTAATATAGCTTGATTGTACTCACATTGGTTGGGCCAGCCAGGATCGGAAAAGCAAGACAGGCGTTCATTAACCTGAAACCAGTGTGGAGATCTGCATTGCACTACACTGCATTCAGCATAAAGCATGAACAACATCCGGATTCCCAACACCAATGCCAATCAAGTCAGTGCTTATATGTTATGCTTCAGAAACTTAGTGTCTTACCAATGGCATTTCCAACAAACTACAGACACTCAACAACAACTGTCTACTCTCCTCACTAAAGTTCAGATGGCCGCGAAGAATAAGCAACAAAGAACTCTGGCAACGAACCAACCACCAACCTATCACTCAACAAATATGCATTGGAAGGGAGTGGAGATGGATGAGGCATGCACTTAGAAGTCCATTCGGCAACATCACGAGCCAGGCTAGTTGTTCGAGTGGAATGCAGATGGGAAACGACGAGTTGGGTGTCTGAGGCTAGAGTGACATGGAGATGGTGTGAGGAAGAAATGAGAGGTTGTTGGCAGTTGTGGTGCCAGGTTGAGAAGACTGCAGAGAAGAGAGTGCAATGGAGGCGTGCTGGTTAAGCTTCATGTTCCACTAGGAACCAAAGGGACAAATAATTATATAATAATATGCTGATAGTCAAGTTCAATAATACTCATTCTATCATCGGGAAAATGAAAGTTTGAACTTTGCTTCATACTCTTGAAGAAGTGAAAAGTTGCAACTATTTAGCGCATCTTTTAAGGTAAAGCTTTTTCTGTAAAAGTATACATAAGTAATTAAATAGCTTAGTAATTTTCAAAGCTTGAAGTTACATGTGTGTACTTAAAATGAACTTGTGGTTCATGCAAAATGTGACATCAAAACAAAGCCCATCATATCGAAACCTCTACTTTCTATGTTTTGAGTATTACAGTTGCCAGGCTGTATCTTATATCTTGTATGGAAGTCCCGAAACTTCCCTCTTCTGCCTATACCTATGCTTACGTAACTGAGTTATACTGGATAGTGATTGAAGGTGAAATAAAAATTTGGACCGCGACCGGATTCGAACCAGTGACCATCAGGTTTTTGGCCAGATGTTCTACCAACTGAGTTACAAGCATCGGTTGGAAACCTGGTGGTCACTGGTTCGAGTCCAGCCACAGTCAAAATTTTTCTTCCACCTTCAATCATCAAGCAGTATAAATACTAGTCTGCCAAACGACAGCTATCTCAGAGAGTCAAAACGATAAGTAAATGAGTTCGTAAATCATTTAACAATTTACCATTGAACTAAATGTTAAATGTCTCTTTCAGAAAAGTTGGATTTTTGCGGCTGCAATTTTCGGTGTATTTTAACTGCAAATACAAATTGAAAAATTGAATCCGAAATTAGAATTTCAAATTAATTACTACTAGTTGGTCAAAAATATATATGATAAGCACATTTAAACAACCAGACACTAATTTATATAGATAATAATTAAATTTTGAGGGAGTTGTGCGGATTTGGAAATATTTCAAGTTGTTATTCATCGTAGACTAAGATCAGTTAGAGGAACAAATGAAACCTAGCAGCACTAGACAGCTGTTTCGTCTTCAGCAGTGCGCAACCATGACCCCCCCCCTCCAGGGTTCGAACCCGCGACCTCCAGGTTCCGTGGCCAGCACGTTGCCATTGAGCTAGCCACTGGGTCAAAATCCAATGATCCATATTTCCAACTTTTGTTAGCTCACGATATAGCACAACTGCCACCCAATATCATTGTTGAGTAACTGTCCTCACGACCATCAGGCTTTGCCCTTACCGGTCACGACTTCTCATTGGAACTCCGGGAATATCTCTCGAAACTAGTCACAACAACAGTAATAACAACTCGAAATAGATAATAATAGTCTTATTAACTGTTAATTTCAATCTGACCACCTTAGTTTTCTTATTTGATAGATTATTACGCCATCATTATTCAATTCATTTGCTTTGACTTTTCTGTCATTACATTGTAGCACAGTCTGTTGGCCTATCTGTCTCATTTTCATTTCAACTAAAACTATGAGTATGCACCTTGTGAAACTGACTCATTTAAAAGATGACTTTTTCCCGCTGAATCGTCCTTTGTTATTCAAGTATTCAAAAGTTGTTTTCTTATTAAATACTAAAATTTGGAGGAAATTTAGTTTCTTTGCTAGCACAATGCAACTTCACTTATATTAGACAATCATGGTATGTTTTGCAAGTTGTTATTCATCATGAACTAGTGTTAGTTGGAGGAGCATTAGAAACCTGAGAGCACTAGGTAGATGTTTGGTCCTAGTATGAGACTGCTCAGCAGTGCCCACCCATGACTCCGCACTCCCAGGGATCGGAACACCACCTTCAGGTTCCGCTGTCAGCCAGTTGTTATCATTGAGCCACTGGGTCGGAACCCAGTTGTCCAGATTTCCAAGTTCTGTCGCTTCACGATATAGCGCGATCATCAACCAGTGTCATTGATGAGTATTTGTCCTCATGTCCACCAGGTCCGCCCCATTGATTGGAACTTCAGGAATCACCTCTCGAAGCTGGTCACCAAGATGCATTGGATCTTGGTATGTGTTAGGAATAACTCCTTTCCGAAGTTTGCATACAAGAAAAAAATACTTCACCGTTATTATGTTCACCTACTTCAATAGGGAGAAAAATGTATTCATTTTCTTAAGTCACCTAGGTCTTCTGACTGCCAGCATACACTCATATTTATGTCATGCCTATTGCACCAATGAATACATCTCGATATTTAAAATTATTGAATACAACAAGAACCTAAAACTTACTAACTGATCAAACAAAAAGACCTAAAGTGTTATGAATTTCTCGGTGGTACAACAGGATCTTTTAAAAGTTCTTCTCTGAATACCACTACCTTAAAAAATATACATTTTACTTTTAATGTCCCCCTAAAACTACTCAAAACCATAAAAGATGTCGATATCAGAATGAAGTAAACATATCAGAAGAATACTTTGAACAAGATAATAGGAACTTTTGTTATTGAAAACAAAGTTCTATTACTACAAGGTGAGTAAAACGACTAAAATTGGATAAATTAGCTTTACAAAACTCATCCTTCAAGGTTGTGTGTGTTACTAGTAGACATCAAAAGAAAAGTCAGTGGAATTCTGTTTCATCTGAAAGTAGGTTAATAAGGATGTAATTTCAGTGACCTTAAATGAATCAAATAAACAAGCATAGTTATATGTTATTACTAGCTGTCAAAAAGTTAGCTGAGTCAAATAAACAATGATAACCGTTTCTTCTGAATAACGTCTATAACTTCAGTGAAAGCTCTCTTAATGTGCTTCAGTTAAAAGATTCTTTGACGTCTGAAAGATGTTCATTAAAATTAAATACTAAGTAGTTCAACATTCTTTTCAACCCCTAAATTTTTAAATAATCCTCAAAATTTCCAGTTTTTATCACATGCATCAAATACTACACTTTTAATTGATGGCATTCATATCCACTGTTGTAAACATGTTCAACGAAAACAAAATCCACTTCTTCAAACTATATTCATAACTATGATCTTATGTGTTATCGAGGATTTTCTTCAACATCAATCAAGATGGAAATAAATTCGAAAACCAACAAGTTGATAGAAGAGGCAGCAAAAACGGGACCTCCTTCAAGTGAATGTAGAGAAGACAGAGGTGATGAAGATACCCAACAAACTCCAATCACCATCAATGGGAGGAACATAAAGTAAGTAGTCTCTTTCATCTACCTAGACAGGACAGCATCGTTTCAACTACAGGTGGTGGCGGCGGCAGTGGCACAGACGAGAATGTCAAAGCCAGACAGGATCCGAAAGACAGCAA